CACGATTAATTTAAGAACTCCCTCGGGCAGGTCGCAGTATATTTGGTGTTCGTTTATTGAAGTACATGCAGCACCTTTAAAAGTTCCCAACCCATTTTCCTGGCAGAGCTCCTCTGTCATTAACCAGTGAGTGACAGGAAGAAACTGAACAGGCAAAGCTTTTGCCTCACCACACTCAGAAAAGCTGTGCTTGTTGCATTTCTCCCTGTTGTACAGCAAGTCACCAAGATTTCACGAAAAAGACATGGCCCCAGGCTGTGGTCTGTTCAGTTAAACATTTATGAACCAGTACGGGAACTGAAGCTAAGTTATCCTTCGAAAATCACAGTTCTCCAAACTTTGCAATCCAATCTCTAGTTCAAAAGGGCAGGCTAAGTGCACATACTAGGTGACACCACACACAAAAGTGCACATATTTGTGAAAAGAGTTTGGCCTTATATCAGGACAATTGCTTGAAAAACGACATTATCGAGCAAAACCGCATGCAGAATTATATGCATTTTCACAACAAACTAAACACACTCTTCAAGGTCAGGACAAATCAAATTTAAAAGTGGGGAACTCGGGGAAGTCAACACTGGCCAATTCATTCATCCCTAGTTTTGACCAAACCAGACATGGGAAAACACACTTATTCCACAAGACATCCAGGAGCAGCCCTGTGGCCTCTGACATTGTCAGGGGCAGACACAGGATTACGCTGCCCCTGTGACCCTGCAGCCAGCATGGCAAGAATGGCACCCCCAAAGTCACAAATGGGGCTCGGAGGGAGGAAAAAGAGAGTATCAGGAGTGGGGAGTGGGGAAGGCTGGGGCCCAGGACTCAAGCCAATTTCTACCTGTACCCCAACCTCCTTCCTTCCCCCTCCTCAGCACTGTGTCTAGAGAGCCAGAGGTCTGGGTGCGGGCTGCATGGCGATGGCAGTCTGGGCCACCGTGCCTCATGCATGGTCTTTTGCCGCTCACTGGGGGTCCCACGGCCACCCCACCCACTGTGCTGTCACGGTTAAAGCTGCTCAGCTTCAGCAGTGCTGCACCTAAGTGCTCTGGAGCCATTCTCACGACATGCCTGCATCTTCGTTCCCAGGACCAGCCCATCCCCACTGCAGCCGCTTTCTTTCTATGCATCTTCTCTGCACAGAAAGCACCCAAACAGAGGCACACCCCCCAAATATATACATGCATCAATAACACAATGACACACTAACTCGCCGGGGGGTTGTAAATCACTCCTTACACCCCTTGGTGGGGCTTACACACCTCCCCAAGAAGGCCCGGATTGTGGCAGGGTTAGGAACCCTCTGTGGCTCACGATGTCGTTTGAACCTGTGTCGTTTGACACACAGAGCCAAAAAGTAGAGGCACCCACTTCAGAGCCCAGAGCGGGGCCTGGTCATGGCCCCTCCCCCCAGGCTCCCCCCCCCCTGCACTCCTGCAGGGCACTGGTGGTGATCCGCCCCTGCCAGCAGTGTCAGGAGCGCAGGAAGGAGAAGCGGATGCCAGCCTTCCCGCAGCGGCCTTGCTGCTCTCTCCTCTATGCTCCAGCAGGGTGTCCCCTGGGATACAAGCTGGAGGACTGAAGGAGGAAGAGGAGGAAGGCACTGCCGGAGGCACCTGTCCAATTGCCCCCCAACTAGGCTGTATATCCACACCACCCTCAAGCATCATGTCAGCCTGCCCAGTGGGATCTGTAGCATCTCCATATGGCAAAGGGAGACTTGGAAATTCACCCCTCCCCCACTGCCAAAGCAAGGCACCCTTTTAATAAGGGTGCTGGAGGGAACGGGTGAGAACACTGCAATTGCAAGAAATGGATAAGAGAGAATTGACCCAAGGAGAGAGCAGATGCTCTCCAAAGAGGGGGTCGGCAGGTCTTACCGAGTGCTGTGCTATTTATTCAAGACAAACATCCAGGGATCGTGCCAGTGAATATTTGACATTCAGTTCAACCCACAACTCAGAATGAAATGGCTGGACAGCCCCAAAGTTTCCAAACAGCTGTGTTAGTCGGTGCAAGAAGAGGTGGTTGGAAAGGAAGAAAAAAGCCCCGTTGCTACCTAACTGCTCATATACAAGCATGGAGCTCAGTCTAGAGAAAATTTGGTGGCTTAAATTCCACTGAGATCAGTGGGACTTGAGAAACTTTTCTTCTAGCCCAAGGCCTACAAGCCACTGTTCTAAATCCACATATCCTTATTTTGAAAGAGTCTGGCATAGGAATTGGATCCAGATTTAGTTGCACTCGGACAGAGTAGACTCACTGAAAGAAGAGATAATCAGGGAAAGGCCCACTAGGGCTGGGGCCTTGAATCTCTGGAAGGCCAGAATGGAGATCATCCTGCTGTTTTGGGGCACTTGCTGCAAGAAAGATACAGGAACAGAAGATACAGAAAGAAAGATACCGATGATCTCTGCTGTATTTGATCACCCTGTTGTCCTTGCCTGATTTTTTTTCTCTGAAATGAAATATCTTCCTACATCACTTTTTTACAAATAGGGGCACCCTCATCAGACAGGATCCTTCAGAGATGCTCACAGAGATAGGCTTCAGAGTATCTACAAATTTATGCTTTTTTATTTTGGTCTTGCAGGTCTGAGCCAAAATCATTTGGGCACCTAGCACTCACCCAGCTGAAATTACAATGGGCACGGCTAGCTTGTCCCATTGATTTTAGGTATGCCTAATTATAGATCTAAGCCTACAAGGTTTAGCTTAAGACTTCCCCTGTTGTTGAAGAGGAGCTGGAGCTCAGCTGAAGAGCTCAGGGGATGCACCCAGGGAACAACCATTCCCTTGGATCTCCATTTAAAAGGAGCTCGGGTATTACAGTTGGAAAGATGTCTACCTTGGCGTCTTGCAAAGGTACTGCCAGGCTACCTATTGTCAGCTCCGGACTACAGGGAGCTCATGGAAGCAGAGGTGCTCAGTGGAGGCAATCAGCTTGCTCCCCGACACCTATTGTTACACCACAGCTGTAGAGCAGCCTTCCCAGCCTGGAGTCCTCCAGATGTGTTAGTCTGCAGATCTTCTCCCTTCCAACTAGCATGGTTGAAAGTCGCCATCCAACACACTCACAGGGCAGCAGGCTGGGGAAAGCAGCTGTGAAAGGCCATGTTTGGAGCATCCTGCGGACCTTTTATTTTCTGGCCACTCCTTGGTGACAAAAATCAAGAGCAAGAGGAAGGATAGGGTTTTCAAGAGTAATGAGGAGAGGAGAGGTTGTCTGAAACCTAACACCAGGTCGCAATGCTGTTTGTATTATAATTCCTTCACTCCATGATCCCACCCCGCAAAGCCTTCTACTGAAAGAAATCTGCCAAGAAGTGGTACTTAGGAACAGAGGACGCTTATCTCAAATCAGATCACTGAGCAATCAGGTTCAGTACTGCTTACACTGACTTGCAGCGGTCTGAAGAGTTTCAAGCAAGAAACCTGTTCCATCCCTACCTGAAGATACAGTGGGACTGAACCTGGGGTTTTCCACATGCATAATACCTGTTCTAGCACGGAGTCAGAGCCCTTCCCTTCTTTGGAACAGACACCTGTTGCTTCTAAGACCTTTTTCTACCACCTTGGCCACTTCTTTAAGATCACTTTGGCACACAGGTGTGGTTGAATCATGAGCTGCATCTTCTTGTCAGCACCTGCCTATCCAGTTCCTATGCATACACTTCAGAATACTGCAGCAACTTTAGCCAAGTTCTGTTCCAAGGAGAAGCTGAAGAGCAATCCTGCATAATAAATACAATAGGCATATACTGGCATATTTTGCACCATTTATTATTATTATTATTATTATTATTATTATAACATTTCTATGCCGCCCCTTGCCGAAACCTCGGGGTGGCTTACAACATGATAAAATACATTGAAATACAATAGTACATAATAAATTACCATTAAATATAAAAATACAAAAAATACATTGATTTACAAATACAAAATTAAAATTATCAGTATAAAATAAAAATATAGGAGGAGAAAGAGAAGGAAGAAGAAGTTGCCCAGGCCAGATCATATTCTCCGTTTGAAAGTCAAAACGGTGAACAAAGAAAAATACTCAGTATCAAAGCTACACTGCTGAGTTTGTCTGATACTATAAATTCTGGATCCTTGACCTCTGGCCTCTGAGATTTAACCAGACTTTGTCAAATCGCTTTCAACTTCAGATCGGTCTTCACAGCCATAAGGGCTAGAAGTCTGCCCAAGAATCAAAAGAAGAAAACGCAAATTCTCAGGATGAAAGTTCTGAGTCTAATTCGATGACTATTTTTGTGCTTGCAATGGTGAGATGTTTTTATTTTGCAAAATATGGATCTCAGGGCCCTCAACAAAGACTGGCATTAGTTTTACCTCCTGTAAAATGGGCTGTAATGTATGACAAAGTTGTAAAAGTGTATGATATACATTTTATATTATGTGTTATACAGCAGGAATTGGAGGAAATAACCCACAGAAAATTGGGGACATAATAAATTTCTCCTTCCTAAACCAATAAACAGCCAGTGCTGCTCTCACACTGGAGGACCCCTCCCTCATTCTGGATACAGAATGAGGCTACACAAATAGAAAGTCTTTGGTTTCTTATTAGCAGTAATAGCTCTGCTTTTTATTTTTGACTGATTATCCACAGATTTCTGGATCCATAATCATTCACGTCACAGACGGAGGGAGCCGAAGCTGAAACAGGATAATAGCCTTTAAATCCCCTCCTCTAAGCGCTCAGATCTTCCCTGTCAGCAAGATTAAAGCGGTCAACAGCAGCCCCCATGTGTCTGCGTCCCACACTGAGTTTTAAGAACAACTGGAGCTGGTGGCTGGTAGGCAGCGAAATGTGAGGCTGCGCTGGTGCCGGATGCTTCAGCCGGGAGGGGAAGCCAGAGCAGCAAGAAACGCTCAGTGGTGGCAGGACGGAGAGTTGCACCCATCTGGCCAGAAAGGGAACGTGTGGAATTTTAAGCCAAGAAGACAACTCCATCCCTCAGATTATAAAGCAGGAATGCAGGACTCTACCCTGGAATCGCTTGGGCAATGCCAAGGAATGGTACGTACAAGCACACAGACAGGAGGGTTGGGTGCTGCTAACTGGGGACCCCAGGAGATGGAGGACTTCTACTGCTTGGACGAGGACAAGGAAGGGGAGGAAGAAGAAGAGCAGAGCAGCCTTCCTTCCACGTTCCCCTTCAGCCCAGTGTTCCCTTCTCGAGGTGCTGCTGCGGCTTCCTCCTCTTTGCTCAACATCAACGTTGGTGGCCGAAGCTACCGCCTCACCTACCAGGCGGTGGCCATCTACCCCACCACTCGGTTGGGGCGCTTGGCCACATCCACAGACCGGCGACGCCAGCTAGGCCTGTGTGACGATTACGCCGCGCAGGGCGACGAGTACTTCTTCGACCGCGACCCCACCGTCTTCCAGCTAGTCTACAACTTCTATGCCTCCGGCGTGCTGCAGGTGCGGGATGAGCTGTGCCCGCGCAGCTTCTTGGAGGAGCTGAGCTACTGGGGGGTACGGCTCAAATACACCCCCCGCTGCTGCCGCATCTGCTTTGAGGAGAGGCGGGACGAGCTGAATGAGCAGCTGAAGGTGCAGCAGGAGCTCCGGGCCCAGGCGGCGGCTCAGGAGAGCGAGTACCTCTTCCGCCACATGCGGTACGCGTCGCAGCGCTGGCGCCTCTGGAACCTCATGGAGAAGCCCTTCTCCTCCACCACGGCGAAGGCCATGGGGGTGGCCTCCAGCTTCTTCGTCCTCATCTCCGTGGTGGCGTTAGCTCTCAACACCGTGGAGGAGCTGCAGCACAGGGACAAAGCCAGCGGAGAGATGCGGCCCATGCTGGAGCACGTGGAGACCTTCTGCATCGCCTTCTTCACCCTGGAGTACGTGCTGCGCCTGATCTCCACCCCGGACCTGCGTCGCTTTGCTAGCAGTGCCCTCAATGCCGTGGACCTGATTGCCATCCTGCCCCTCTACCTCCAGCTCCTTCTGGAACATTTTGTGGACGAGGACCAGCCCCGGGGACAAGGCTCCCAACATGAGCATGACATTGAGAAAGTGGGGAGAGTGGGGAAAGTCGGGCAGGTGCTGCGCATCATGCGCCTCATGCGCATTTTCCGCATCCTCAAGTTGGCCCGCCACTCCACCGGGCTGAGAGCCTTTGGCTTCACTCTGCGCCAGTGCTACCAGCAGGTGGGCTGCCTCTTGCTCTTCATTGCCCTGGCCATCTTTGCCTTCTCTGCCATGGTTTACACGGTGGAGCATGATGTCTCTAGCACCAACTTCACCAGCATGCCCCACGCCTGGTGGTGGGCTGCCGTAAGTACCTATTTTCCTACTCGATATTCCTGCCTGCCTTCTGCCCTTTTGCTCAGGACCGCTGGCTGCTTGGGAAGCGGCAGGGTACACCCAGATTTCTGAACATCTGTTCTGAGTGCGGCATGGACCGATGCACACACCCCTCAGCTGGAAGCTTTAGCACATCAGTTTCAGAAGATCAGTCTATAATCAGAGACGCTGAGCCTGAGCTGGGTGGCTATTTGTAGGTATGTTCTGCACAGGCTTCCCGCTGCTGCTCGCTGAGAAAGGAGGGGAGGGGAAGGGGAAGGTGCTCCCACGCCCACAGTGCAAGCCTTAACGCTGCAGTGACATCTGCGCGCCTGCTAGCTGCTAGCTGCCAGCACTTTACACCAGGAACAGAGTTGGGGGGAGGGATCCTTTTCTTCCACAGGGCTATTCATAAAAGTTGATGTACCAGATGATTTGTTGACACAATAAAAGGGGGCTCAGAATAGTTCACTCAGCAGGTAAAATGTAAAGATGAGGCTGGGTACCTGCATAGCCATCTGTGCATTTGGAAGACAGGTGGATAAGACAGGTGTCCTTCAGGGGACCTTCCAGACAGCTACAAAAGAGGGTAAAATGACATTTTGTTTTATTTATATCGAGCCTGGACAAAAATAACAAAACAGGGTAGGATCACCTGACTCATCTGATCATAACAGAGCTTATAATTTATAGGCATGAACATATTAATGAATGTGTTATAAGTCACCAGTGAATGGAAAAAATGTTGCATACTGCCTCGTGCAGTTGGATGAATAAGGAGAACCTGGATAAGCAGCACACGCAGGCAGTTCCCAGAGTGTCGCCCTGGCTGAGAGTTTCTACAAACAGAGGCACGTAGACAGATGCATTCAAGGCAGTTACAGGCAGAGAAAATGCTGTAGTTCAGCCCAGTCACTCCTGATGCCCTCCAGAAATGCTAGTGGACAATTTCCATCTCCCCAGGTGATGCTGGCTAGGCATGATACTAGTTGTCGCCCAGTCCAACCCACTTGCAAGGCCCTACAGTGGAAGGGACTGAGCTGCAGAGCACACTGCAGAAGCGGATGGGGCCACAGCATAGCAGGGGTTTTTGCTGCTTTTCCCCCTCGTGGGCCACAGCAGGAGGGAACCATGACACTGATAGCTGCTGCTTCTAACACAGTCATAGGAACACACGCCCCTCCAAATGTCGTTGGACAGCAGCTCCCATAAACCCTAGCCAACTTAGCCAATGACGAGGAGCGATGGGTGTTGCTGTCCAGCCACACATTCCTGCTTGCTTGCTTGCTTGCTAGTGGGTTAGCTGATCTTGTTCGGGAAGTAGTACATGTGAATACACAACAGGAGCTGTAGACACCCTTGTAGTGGGAGCTACTCCTGCGCTAGATGGTGGGGGGGGCAGGTTGTGGCTAGCTATTCTTCCTACAGTAATCCTCCTAGTCTGCCTGGGCTAGCAGCACTTGGCATGGTGACCGTCCTAAACACGGAATCGAGGAGTACGCAGTGGCTGTGACTGAGAAGCCACAGAAAGCCTGTTCCTTTGGAAGCACCCTGTTTCCCTTCGATTGCCCGCTGCCCCCACTGATTCCAGCCACACAGAAAAGACCTCTCATGGATTCTGCACATGATCACAACTCCCTTTACATGCTCCCAGAGGGCCACAGCACCACCTCCCTGTGGTGCAGTCCCACCCAGCTGTCTAGCAGAAAACCACGGGTGAAACCAGGAGGTCGAGTCCTTCCCACCTGATTTTCACCTTCCTGGATCAGATGAGAAAGACCAAAGAACCATCACCACATCCTTGTGGCTTTGACGTTTACATACACAGTGTATCTGATGGGTTCCTGGGGTAAATAATGCAATGGCCTCCGGATATTTTGAATGACAAAATATATTGGCCATGCTGGCTGGGAATAACGGGAGTTGTGTTCCAAAATATCTGGGGAGATAGCAGTTTGCCCTCTCCATGCACCCTGGGGAAGTAGCTATGGTATCACGACAGGTACAAGCCAAGTAGGCCCAAAATGCAACACGTTCAGAATTCTTGATCATTGTTCTTTAGAAGCAGAAGAGAAGCTCCCCTCCCACCCCAAATTTCCGCACACAAAATAAGAAAACACATCCGTGAAAATTCCATTCCAAAGCATGTTCCACTGTCACGGCCAAAATAGGCACTACTTCAAATTTGCCTAGCTGCTATATTGTTATTTTTACTCTTAGCATATGATCTGGATCTTAAAGGCCCCCCTCCCCCCCCCTTGGGCTAGGCTCTTAGACCCTGTACCTACTCTAGAGTAAAAACAGGGCTGTTTCTGCTAAATGCACATTTGTCTGCTTTGGCCCTCAGTAGCCCTCTCATCCTGATGTTTATTTCGGGAGATATTCTTCTTGCGTGAACATTCAATTCCAGTGAGTTAATTTCCATCAGGCCACAAACTAATCCCACCAAATGCGCCAGGTGCGCCCTACAAATAAGCTTGCCCGTTGCGGCTCAGAGAGCCCGCCTTATGTTTCATGCATCTGAAACGTCAGGCTCCTTAAAAAAATAGTAACCGTGGCAAGGAGGAGGAGGAAGAGGAGGTGGAGGAGAGGACTCCGGCACACATGACTGCCTTTCCAATGGACGGGCCATTGCTAAACCAGCCATGGGTGCTGGCTGACAGGGAACAGCCTGAAGCTCTGTTTTAGGCATTTCTCTTGCTGTTTTCTTAACATCATTCATAATAATGCCTCAGAACTGGCGCTGGTCACCTTTACGAGATAAATTGGGCAGAAACACAGGAGAAGAGAAGCATTATTCTTCAGAAAAAGCACATGATCTACTTGGCTGCCAAACTTGCACCAAGGCAGCAAAGGGGGATGCTGTTCTAACCAAGACCCCACGTTCCAATCCTCTGCCAGCTCTGGCCTACCTCCTACCCCGCTCTAAATTTCTTCTAGGGAAGCATGCTGTGCACAAGTTCATGTCCAGGCAGAAGAGGCTTGAAATTAAGCTAGACAGTCATGCTGTTAGTTTCTGTCCTCTCTCTCTCTCTCTCATACACTCTCTCTCACACACATTCCTTTACTAAGTAGCAATAGCATCAGCTGCTCAACTACCCTTCCCTGATAAGACTGTACTTTAAGCTAGACAGTATAGCAGAATGTAGGAGGAAAAGCAGAGTCTGTACTGACAGTCTGCAAAAGGTGATGCATAACTGTATTGTTCACCTTCAAATGAGAGAACTGATAAATTAAATTTTGGATTAAATTGCCTTAGGAAATATCAACACGTTTTTCAGTTTTATGGAACTCTTTTTCAGGTTAAAAAAATAGTTTTCAAATGTCAAAAGAATTCCTTCTTTTAAAAAAGCACCCCAGCTGTAACTTGATCTTACTGTTTTGAGTAAACAGTGAGGAATGGCACCATGATTAATATAATATTTCCACAGACATCCAGGGTATCATTTGAGCAGTCCTATTGCTTAGGAACAACCCCCAGTGCTGAATATGTTTTATGACTCTTCGCTTGTAATTTCATTTGTTGCTTCCACAGCCCCAAAGTTACAGATCTCTTTAGATTCAGATTCCTTAAGTCTCTCCAGGCTGGTTCATGCACAATGTCTTTGCAAAAGTTACATCAAAGCACAAAAATCATAAATAAGTTGTCATTTTGGAAAAAAACACAAACCCATTCATTTAGTGTGTGTTGAGAAGTTGTGACCACACAATGAAATATACATGTGCATTCATTGTCCATTAGAGTGTACATGCATCTAACCAAATATTATTTATTTATTTATTTATTTAAAACATTTCTATGCCGCCCCCATTGCAACAAAGCCTCGGGGCGGCTCACATTGCATTTGAAACAGCAGTGGAAATGCTGACAATGAATGCTAGGAATGCAACACTAATTGCTTTAACTGTGTACATAGAAACTATTTTTTTCTCCCTTTCCATTGTTACCCTAGAGTGAACTCAGGGAACTTCATCTGGATAGGGACCAAGTGTAAAGCCTACATGGCATTTAAGATACGGATTGGAGACCCTGTACCTACTGCAGAAAAGAAAAGGAAAAACATACCTGCTAAGGACAGATTTAAAATAATGTCTGTTTTGGGCCTTAGAAAGGAACTTTGGATATGTGATCTGTGCAGGAAAAAATCTAAAGAAAAGGGAAACATTATATAGGCACTGTGACCATCTTGAGAACCCACCCATCAGACAGACACCAGAGAGACAACAAGAGTGGACCCCTTCAAGAACATACGGGTTCTGAACAGTTAGACTCAGTGATTCTAGGTGGCAGGACTAACATGTAAAGAGATATACTAGATAAGCCAAAGGCTTATCTTACAGTGACCAACCTGAGCCCCAAGACAGCAGCTGAGCAGAGTGGCCAGCAAGTGGGAGAAAGAGCCCTCTTGCCCCTAATAGTTTTATTCTACCTATTTATTGTAAGCCGTCCTGAGACGTTTGTAGGGGACAGGATAGAAAAGCTTTTAATCAATCAATCGATCAATCAATCATTCAATAAAAATAATACAGGTAATGTTCAGCCATCAGAACTGGTAACCATGGATGGCCTAAAACACCACAAATTGGTCTACTCCTCTTTTAATGCCATCAATGGCTTTAAGGTTATACCACCTTAATGCAAGGCAGAACCTTAGTGAGACCACTGGGTGGACGACAGTTCTATGCGTCAATGTACAAAATAGCAATTTAACAGAAGTCTAAATGATCCAATTCTTCTTAGCAAAAAGTGCTGGTTTTGATGTTCTGACTTAGTGCTTTAATTTTTATTTGCTTAAAAGGTTAGCATTTCTACAGTAGGATATGGGGACATGTGTCCAGAAACCCATCTTGGACGACTGTTCGCCTTTCTCTGTATCGCTTTTGGAATAATACTGAACGGTATGCCCATCTCTGTCCTCTACAATAAATTCTCTGACTATTACATCAAGCTGAAAGCATATGAGTACACAGCTATAAGGAAGGAAAGAGGGAAAGTGGATTTTACACGACGAGCCATGAAGAAGATGTCTGAATGCTGTGGAAATAGGCAAGCACAATTACCAAGGCACAGACACAATTAATACTCCAGAAAGAAATGAGAGTGCAAAGGGGAGAGATCAAGAGATCATTTGGACCGGTATACAAAGTCACTGGGTTAAAGCTAAGAATGGATGAAAGGTATCATTTAAATCGAACTTTCTTTAAAAAAAAGAGTTATAGAAGTAGATCTTATGATTATTTTGTCTGATGGAAGTTCCAGCTAACATCCAAGCAAAATCAACTATGTACTTAGATTGTGATCCAACTATCAATTTCAAGAAGGATTTATGAAGAAATGGAATATAATGTAATGCCACATGTTTGGTTTTCAAATACAGTGCTACCACAAATGTAAACACAAACAATATCACTTATTTTCTGCATATTTACTGATGTACTGATATGATGGATATTGCCTCAAAATCAGAATTGTAGTGGCCTGCAAGCAAAAAAATACTTGTGACTTGTTACTGAATTTACTTGCAGTCTTGAGACTTGCAAAGAGGAGAGTGCGTACAGTGCATTGGCTCTGTGATGGTAGGTAAGCCAATGTAAGAACAAAGAGCCTCAGACACAGTCTTCCAGCCTTTTATACTTGCCAGAAGCATGTGTTGTATGTCCATACCCAGAACAATAACATTTGGTGGAAATTTACGTCATCCTTGATTACAATAAATGTCAGAAAAAGATTTGGGGTTTGCACCACAAAATTTCAGAAGTTTTCCAATTGGTTTTCTGATTGATACAAAAGTAAGCTAAGAGAGCAATACGTAGCCAGAGATGGCATTAACATATCAATACAAGGCTTATCGTGGTACTGAATCAAAAATCAAACTGCAGCTGAAAAGAAAAGGGAGAAATAGGGGGAAACTGATAATACAAATGCTTCATCAATCGTTCTTCCAGTGTAATGGTTTTAGCTGGCCTTTTATCTTCATTTGCTACTGTGAATTCCTTTGCATTGTTGGGTTTTCACAACATATGCATCAGGTCCATGATCCTTACATGGCAGAATAGCAGTACTGTCCTAATATGGAAGATGACATCCAAGGCCATGAAATAAGGGCTTATCTAATGCACCCTCACTCTGAACCAGGAGCTCCCTGTTTCATATCATCATTTCGGTGCCACCAGCCAGCTCTGCAGCAGTCATTCATGACTGGCTCACAGGAAGCTTCCAGCTCTTGCTGCTGCTCCGGAGAAAGGAGGCATGGTGCTCTCACCAGAGGGCATACCGAGGCTGCAACGCGGGGTCTGTTACTATTTATTTCCCCATTGCTCTGGGGGGCAAAGGCTCTCGAAGCATTGTTCACTCAGCACCATGCAGATGTGTGGCAGTGCTGCCTGGCTCACACTCACCGCTGCTGGTGAGCCAGCAGCTGCACACCTGCTCACACCCCCAGGTTATCTCCCAAACCCCTCTACTAAGGGTTGCAAGTTCCCTTGTGCAGGAGAGGCTAATGGCCTCCCTGAGCTACCTCCATGAGCAGCACCAAACTTGGTCTTCAGCATCCTTTGGCCTGGAGCAGCTTGCCTGTGGCATATGGTGGAAATGAAGGAGATGTGAATTTTAGTGAGGAGAGGCCAGTTACGGAGTTGCGGCTCCTTGTTCTGTTGCCCTCGCCCATCCAAAGGCTTCTGTGCCTGGACAGGCAGGAGGTGGCCTGAAGCTGCTGCAGATTCCTGTTTGATATTCTTGGATCCCTCCCAGCCCTGTGATGTTATAAATGGCTACACATCGCACAGCAAGGGAGGTGCGATGCTAAGGGCCAGTCCAGCAAAGTGTACAGAGCAGGCAAAGCCCCTTGGTATTCCTTCCACATTCTCTCAGTAAGTAGATACGGCTGGATCCTGGCTTAGCCGTACGTAGAGTTAGCACCACTGCGAGCTGCTTGCAGAAGATTCAGCGGCTCTGCTGTATGATTAAAATCACAGGACATCCCCTAATTGCCCAAGGACCCCTCTTGGAAAGCCACACTTGGCTACAGTGGTTAACACGTACATAAACAATAGCGGTCCAAGTGAGGTATATATAGCCTATGCAGTCTCTCTATAGGCTATAGAGGTCTACTGGACCTCTATAGATGTGACCAACAGAGGTCACATCTTGAACATCTGGGAGACGCAACTTCTCAGTCATGAAGCTCACTGGGTGACTTTGGGCCAGCCACGAACTCCCAGCACATCCTGCTTCACAGGGCTGCTGTTGTGAGGATAAAATGGAGTTATGTAAGCTGCCTTGCATTCCTCGTGAGAGGAAAAAGGGCAGGACATAAATGCCATGTGCTACTACTAAGAATAATATAATCCCTTAAGAAAATTGGATTAAAATGAACCAAAGTTATGCTCATAGTTTCCCACATAGCAGCTGAGTCAAAATGAGCTAAGTGGATAATGAAATAATTGACCAGTTCAGATATAATGTCCAATATTGGTTAGACTGAGGAGGATGGCTGTGCTTACACACGGCTTCCTTCCTTCTCTTGCCTAAACTGGGAAGCAGTAATTTAATCTCTGATGCAAACTTGAATTCTTGTTTGATATTCTAGTCTGTAGCCAAAGGACATGCCAGGAAACTTAGCTTCAGGTACCCTAGAATTTCCCAGTCCGTGAGCACATGAGAGGAACACACAGGTACAACACGGCTGTAATAAACCATGGTTATTCGATTGGGATGATTACATCTGAATCAGGCCAGTACTTAAATAGTAAGGAAGCTCTTAAAAACTGCAGTGGTTGAAACAGGTTCATTCATCACTATCCCCCAGTTGCTCCAAAGAAGGTTTCTGTGATTATCCTTCTGCAGTGGTGAAGAGCACCTTGCTAAACAGAGGTGGCCAAAAGATCAGAACAGGTTTGGCAGGGATTGCGTAAAGGGATCCAGAAAGTTGATGGAGAGCATCCTCAGAGGGCAATCATAACAGCCAGGTGCTGTGTGTGAGGGACTATTAATAAGCCCCAGGCAATCATTTTGCTGGCCAAACAGCTCAGGTGGACCATGTACACGTCACCTGGAGCCGCTGCATCTAGAGGTTAGTGTGAAGCATGGCCTAGCAGCCAGTCAAGGACAAGAAGAGAAATGCATCTTTCTTCAGAGTAATACGATACCCACAGATTATAATGTTGTTTGGCAGACTGAAGACCCCACCCTTGTCTTTCAGCAATTAGAAAGCAATTACTTAAATTTCTTCCTCCTGTTTTTTACCCCAGTTAAAACCATTTTCCACTTCTCACTTCCAAAACAACATCCAAAGCAACAGGTTCCCTAGAAAGAGCTGGAGGGCGACCGCAACAGGCTGGCATATTCTGAACGTGCATGATTGCTTGCTTGAATATCCCAAAAGCATATTAAACACATGTGCTCCTTCAATTTGTGCACACACACAGAGTTACAAGTTCAGCTTTGTCTGCAGATGCTATAGACAATGCATGTCAATCATTAACTTCCAGAAGGGGAAGTATATACGGATGAAACTAGCCTCCAGTTAACCATCTCAGCTTTCCTGGCTTTTTACCCACAAAATTATTATTTTTTTCTCTGTCTCCATGTATATCACCCTTCCAACTGATGGAAAACGTCTCACTCTGTTGATACAGTGGGCTCCATCCCACAACAGCTCATGGCAAAATAAATCCCTTCAGTATTTAAGATGCCACAAGACTTCGCTGTTTTCAAAAAAGAATGTGCATGATCAAGTAGGAGAGATGATGGGATATTATGGTTAGAATGTTGGTCTAGGACAGTGGCTCCCAACTTTGAGTGTCCAAATGTTGAACTTGGACCACACCTCCCACCTTCCCCAGCCCACATGGCCAATCATCAGAGATGACGGAAGGTTACAGCTCAGTATCCAGTTCCCAAGCTCTGGAACTCCCAAAGCTCATAGTGGGGATTTGAGACCACATTCAAATGCCAATCTGAGCCAGGTACCACCTCTCAGCCTAACCTACCTCACAAGGTTGTTACAAAAACAAAAAGTTGCACCTGGTGGGATCTCTCCACCATCATGTATCTTGCTCTTGAAGTCTGTGTGGAAGGGTGGGATATACATATTCTAGATAAATAACAGTGGAGGTCAATATAAAGGCAGCCACATTCACAGAATCTTACACAATTATGAGTCCTACTGTATTCAGACTATGTAAATATGCAAAGGGTTGCTCTTTATGTTGGCTATCCAAGTGGATTTTGGCATACATAACACTGCTTATGAGTGAACAAACACAGGAGCAAATTGGTGTGCATCACACCCTGGTTCAACACCCCCCACCACCCCGAATGAGCACTAGTCAGAGTATTTGCAAGTCCACCATCTGCCACCATCCAATGCAAGACATGGCAGGTATACAAACTGGCTGCTATTCAAGACCCCGTCCCTTGAAGAACTGTCCTACTGGTGGACAGTTTGTAGTCCACCATGTGAACTCAACTAGATAGTCTTCAGTCTGATTTGGCAAAATGTGTCTTATATTTTTATAGAGACTTGTTACTAATGCAGTTGTTGTTGGGCTGGACCTAATACATTCTCAGTTTGGATCTAGCAGAATAAGATGGCAGAATGGACCGTGTCATGTCACACTGCAGATGAAAGATACTACTTCCAATGCTCCAGCGTAAACATGAAAAGGTAGCACATCCAGAGAAAATGTTATAGACCACCCTTCTGCTCACTGTGGCTTTCTGTTTACAAGGGAAGAGGTAATGTTGGTAAGCACTGACAGTCTATTTTTTAAAATCCCTACAGATCGAAGTAGTACAGTCCATTTGACCACCTCATACAGGTGTGTGTGTTACCACCTCACAAAACAGCACCTAAGATTGTGACATGCACCTCAAACAAATCATTCAAAGAGAATTAGCTTGTCAGGGCAAAGTCTAGGTTACAACCATTCTCCAGAATATGTAACTGTCAAGGTCCAAGGATTTTTTTAAAAATCAAAGAACATTAAATTATGTAATTCTATACTCGGAAACTGAAGTGTTCCAATCCACAAACAGGTTTACCACCATGCAATGCTGAGAGAATATAAACATTCAAGT